TCTACTAAATACTGAGCAAAGGGTCTGAATACTTAGGACCATGTGATATTTCAGTTTTTATTTTTTAATAAATCTGCAAAAATGTCAACAATTCTGTGTTTTTCTGTCAATATGGGGTGCTGTGTGTACATTAATGAGGAAAAAAAATTAACTTAAATGATTTTAGCAAATGGCTGCAATATAACAAAGAGTGAAAAATTTAAGGGGGTCTGAATACTTTCCGTACCCACTGTATGTACATGTATTAGTGTTATCAAAAGTACTGATGTCGGTACTGAAATTTTTAAAAATGTGCCGATGCCAATCAGAGCTGTTTAAGAATCCGCTCAACAGCGCTCAAAATCCTGGTATCGTCACATTTTTACAATTTCAGTACCAACATCGGTACATTTAACAACACTGACATGTATAATATTACACAGCGGAACATTTCATTGCTCATATGTTGCTGTTTTATACCTCAAGAAACTTAATTCTCAGTTAATGCCATTTAAGTATCAACCGTCTCTCATTCTCCTCAGGAGAAATTAAAATAGACCCAAAAGAGACACTAGTTGACATTGTTGAGATTTCTTCTGAAACTCTAGAAGAGAAACATGAAATTACTGGGGTCTTCATTGAAACAGTATCTTAATTTTTTGTTAAAATGCATATTTTTAATGTATTTGGTGACGTTAGTGGCACAGAAAGGTCTTCATTTGCTCTCTGTTTAATCTGATTGTTATCTAGGTGATTTTTTTTCTTTTGTATTGATTAATTCAATATATTGAGTCACTACTGTTCTCCTTCATCAGGACTCTTTCGTTTCTCGGCATGAGTTTGTGTCTGGCTCTGATGTTCATTTCCTCCTGGTACTACGCTCTGGTGGCCATGCTCATCGCTGGATGCATCTACAAATACATCGAGTACCGCGGGTAAGAGCTGCAGAAGCGCATTACAGCCCACGCTGTGAGTCTGTGCAGACGCTAAGCTGATTACAGCTTCATCTGACTGAGTGTTTGTCTGCGGTGTCATTGTGAGTTTAAACTCAATTTTTATATCTGTGTTCAGGGCGGAGAAGGAATGGGGCGACGGGATCCGCGGTCTGTCGCTCAATGCGGCGCGATACGCTCTGATTCGATTGGAGGAGGCGCCGCCGCACACCAAAAACTGGAGGTGAGGGTCACAAAATACACAAACCAATAAATCCATTATAAAATAAACACCTATGTTCAAAAGTCTGGGATCAGTAAGATTTTTATTTGAAAGAAAGTAATACTTTTATTCAGGAAGGAAACATTCAATTGATCAGAAGTGACAGTAAAGCCATTTATAATGTTACAAAATATTTCTATTTCAAACAAATGCTGTTCTTTTGAACTTTCTATTCATCAAAGAATCCTGAAAAATAAAATGCATCACAGTTTCCACAAAAGTATTGTGCAGCACAACTGTTTTCAACATTGATAATAATCAGAAATGTTTCTTAAGCAGCAAATCAGCATATTAGAATTATTTCTGAAGATCATGTGACACTGAAGACTGGAGTCATGATGCTGAAAATACAGCTTTGATCACAGGAATAAATTACATTTTAACAGATATTCACATAGAAAGAAGTTATTTTAAATTCTAATAATATTTCACATTTTTACTGTATTTTTGATCAAATAAATGCAGCTTTGGTGAGCAGAAGAGATGTTCAAAACATTTTTAAGTCTTACTGACCCTACATTTTTGAACGATCATGTATTTATCACAATGCATTTTTTATCCCTATAAGTTTAATAAAAAAAATTTAATTTTTGTTGTTATTATTTATGTTATTTTTATTCAAATGTATTATATAAAATGTATTACATGTAGTTGTGTTTTGGAAAATTCAGTGAGTTAAAAAAAATAGTTTTATATATTAAAAAAATACTTTTATTAATTTTTCAAAACAATCTTAATGATACAAACATCACAAACTAGTATAAACAACAATAAAACTGACAATAAAATCAGTTAAAAGCCAACCTACAGAATAAAGTACAGTATAGCAAAATATCTCTGTCAACACATTTCTATACCAGCTTTCTTTCTACCTTCACCTGCTCTTCTGAGATGTAATCCAGAGACAATCAGTGTTGGATTTTCCCAGAGCTCTTGCTAATCTTTCATGGATGAAATAACCTGTCTACAATGAGCTGCGATGAAACTTCAGTCGTCTTTCAGGAATGAGGTCAAATCTGTTCATTCCTCGTCCCAGCGCCTCTAATCCACGCAAGCAGAAACAGAGCTGGGTTTTGTTCTGTGACATCTGTGTGCGGCTGGACAATCTCCACTGACGGTCTTCTGTGTTTTTCCGGTGTCTCTTCAGTCAGTATTCGAGTGTCTTTGATTGATATGATGATGCTCTGTCCGTCAGACTCATGCCAGGGTTATCATAGTTACCTGAAACTAAAATCATTAAAAAAAACTTTTTGTTACTTTAAAAAAATAAACGTTAACTGAAATAAAATATAATTAAAAATAAACTTATTTCATCTAGCTGCCAAAGCATTTCGTTTAACTTAAAATACTAAAATAGCTCAAACTAAAAATGAAATAAAAATTCATAAAAGGTACAAAAAAGAACATAGAAAATGTATAAAAATAAATAAATAATCCAAAATATTAATAAAAACCTTAATGGTATCTCAATGATACTAAAGTAACATGTTGTGAAATCATTTCTCAGCTGCACTAGAATAACCCCAATCGAAATTAATTTTAGTGGATTTTATTTATACTCTCTTCAATAAAGAATAAATCATTAATGGTAATGGCAGATCCTCTGAGCTTTTGACTTTTAGGCTCAGGTTAACATCATTCACCTGAAAGCATCACACCTCTGACAGTCGTTCATAATCTTTTAATCCTGAGCCGGAAAAACCTCCACTGTTTGATTTCAGAACCGAGAATCTTTTCCACTGCCTTTCCATTTTTACTGTATTATAATACAGTTGTTCTAGTAAATAACTGTAACCAAGGTTATTCACTAATACATTATACATACCATTCAAGGTTACACTTTTGAAGAGTATAAAGCATTAAAACACATATGCATTACACTATGAAAAGCTGTAATCATGAATACGTAAGTATTAATCGAATTAGAACTGTGGTTATGAAAAGATATGCATTACAGTGTGTGTGTTTTAAAGCATTAAGAACAACCAAAAATTCATTACATGCACTTTCACACTCAGCAGATCTTCATTTTCAACAGAATTTCATTTGCTAGTATTAAATAGTATTTATATATATATATATATATACAGTGGGTACGGAAAGTATTCAGACCCCCTTAAATTTTTCACTCTTTGTTATATTGCAGCCATTTGCTAAAATCATTTAAGTTAATTTTTTTTCCTCATTAATGTACACACAGCACCCCATATTGACAGAAAAACACAGAATTGTTGACATTTTTGCAGATTTATTTGCTACAAATATACCCCAGCGACTTAAGACTGCTTTTATGCTCCAGGGTCACATATCTATGTACTCTGTTTGTGTGCTGTCCAGGCCTCAGCTGCTGGTGCTGCTCAATCTGGACTCTGAGCTGTCGGTGAAACACCCTCGTCTCCTGTCCTTCACCACGCAGCTGAAAGCAGGCAAAGGTCTGACCGTCGTGGGCTCGGTGCTGGAGGGCACGTACCTCACCAGAGAGAGCGACGGCAAAAGAGCAGAACAGGCATGAACATGACGCAAACATCCACAAACATGAGGGATTCCTCAAACAAAGGACTTTTACTGCTTGAAAACTTGATCTTTTAGGTGAAAAATTACATAAGCCTCACACTTGGACAGCAGATTTTGGAACAGCAATTACTTAGTAAAAAGATTACTAATTAAACATGATGTCATGGAAAATATCCCTGATTTATTATTTTTTTTAATAGGTTCTGGGTATAGAATAAATGTAACATTTTAGCACTCATAAAAATGAGTAATTAAAAAGACACATCAATAAGAATTTAAAATGATTATTGTCTACTTATTATTATAATGATTTATTGTTGCTTCATAATATTTTTATTATTTATGGTTTTTATTTTTGTTGTTGTTAGTTTATTCAATACATATAATAATTTAATTTCTTTATATCATTTATATAATTTTAAAACATGTTTTTCTTCTCTTTAATACTAATAACTGATTGTTTTTGTGAAGGTATTTCTGCAAAAGGGGACAAAAAGATTCATCTCTAATTGATGAATCACACTTTTCCTAAATTTATAATGCATTTATTTATAGATTCTGAGTAGAGAAATTCTGGCCAGTTTAACTTTTCTGCACTCTTAAAAACAAGAAAGAATTAGTTTAAAGAGACAACAATAAGTTTAAAGTGATTATCTATGTAATTTTTATAATGTATTACTTTTGCATATTACTGAATTATCATATTATTATTTTTATTGTTTTTTTGTTATGAATTTAATACATTAATATATTTTTGTTTATCATTTTTAACATACTTTTGAATTATTTTTTAATCCTTTTTATCTTATCTACCCTTTAAAATGATATATATATATAATTTTTTTTGTTGTTTTGTTTTTTTTTGTAAATTACATTTTTTTAATTAATTAATATACATTCATTTATTTTAAATTCTGGCCATTTTAACTTTAATACGAGTTTTCTAAGGGTCACAATAATAAGAGTTTAAATCTATTATAGCTTGAATCACAGATTGTTTTTTGTAAACATATTTGGTTATCCAAGGGGAAAAAGTTCCACTAAAAGAAGAATCACTCTTATGTAAAGCAATTACAGACTGATTTGCAGCATACACAGCACAAACAGTCAATGACAAAATGTCAAGGCAGGTTCTGTCCTCAGATAAACTGTGTAAACAGAGTGAAGCGCAGCAGGATCTCATACTGACACCTAGCGGCCACAGAGAGAACCGATCAATCCAAACTCCACTTTATGAAGTTTTAATGTTAGAAAAATGGCAGATATGAGGCATTTTGTTCACATAAAGATTTTATTTACCACTATAGAGCATCAAATCAGCCATGGCGTCAGAGAAGACGAAGGGTTTCTGTCATGTTGTGGTGTCGTCAAACCTGCGCGACGGCTTCTCTCACCTCATCCAGTCAGCCGGACTCGGAGGAATGAAGCACAACTCTGTTCTGATGGCTTGGCCCGCGAGCTGGAGACAATCCAACGACCCACAGTCCTGGAAGAACTTCATAGGTTTGAGTCTGACTTTATATCCGAACCGTGCTGCCGTGACTCATTTAAAGAGAAAGAAACCTCGGCAAACGTAAAGATACGATCTGTTCTTCCACAGAAACCGTCCGAGAGACCACTGCCGCCCATCAGGCCCTGCTGGTGGCCAAGAACGTGGACAGTTTCCCTCACCAGGAGCGTCTCGCTGAAGGAACCATCGACGTGTGGTGGATCGTTCATGACGGCGGCTTGTTGATGCTCCTGCCGTTCTTACTGCAGCAGCACAAGGTACGGCCCTTTAAATCACAACTTTAAATGAGGTTAGAGGAACGTCCCTAATGTGTGTTTTCATGCTCTTCTCAGGTCTGGAGGAAGTGCAAGATGCGCATTTTCACCGTGGCTCAGTTGGATGACAACAGCATCCAGATGAAGAAAGACCTGCAGATGTTCCTCTACCACCTCCGTCTGAATGCTGAGGTGGAGGTCGTGGAAATGGTGAGGAGATGCTTCTTCTTGACATAAGGATCTAAAGTTGGTTTTGTTGTGCTGCAGGACTGCATGATTTTGTGTGTGTGTGCGCGTGTGTGCGTGCGTGCGTGCGTGTGAGTGGAGTGTGTGTGTGTGAGTGGAGTGTGTGTGTGTGTGTGTGTGTGTGTGTGTGTTTGTGTTTGCGTGAGTGAGTGTGTGTGTGTGT